TCGATGCGGTTATGCCTCTAAGTCGTGCTTCGACACGTGGGAGATATAGCCGCATCGAGGGCATTACAGTCAGTGTATCATGCAATGTCAAAAGTGAGGCATGTGAGAAATAATGGAGGTCTGGCTCTAGGAGGATCTGCATCTCTTCCGGCATTGCCGACTTGTTCTCCACGACGCCAATCCGGCAGGACCTTGACCTTGATGAGTCCCTGTTTGCGATCAACAACGACAACCTAGCTCCGGCGATGGAGCAACTTGTAGGGAAGACACCCCCCCCCCCTCTCTCTCTCTCTCTTTGATTTCGATGTAACTTCTTTGCTTTTTAGTTTTCTATGCGCTTTAAAAAAAGTTAATTCACGAATTTGTTTTGCAAAGACAAAGAAGAAGACGATTGGTTCCGTTTATTCCGCATAAACAGAAAAAGAAAATAGACAGGGCTAAAATGATCACTCCTCCTGTCACATAACGGTGGAAGAATGTGTTTACGGATACGATCATATGATTAACCTTTGGATTCCAATAACAAGGCATGACTTTCTCTTACTTTAGACAAGAACCTAACATTTCTTTTCCTGGTACTAGAAAAAGAGCCAAACCTTTCCAAGGCACCGGACGTACGTCGCCCATTTGCATTTCTTTATATCGGAGGGATAGGTGCACATCAACATCACGCACAACGCACCGCACCGCACTTTACAGTAGACCATTCCTTTACTCGAGAAGCTTATTCGTGCCGTAGCGTTCGGTATCCACCTAATTTCCCCTATCATTTTGTGCAATAGTCATCTGTGCACTCCGGTTTCCAGAAGTAATAATAATCCGTCTCCACCGCAGCAAATGCGGTGCGCCGTGCGCAGAGTCTGGGTCACGTCACGTCCTCTCGAGTCGACCTCGCGGTCGCTGTGGTGTGGGTTCAGATCGCCCCGTCACCGCCTTTCAGGTCCAGCAGATCGACGATCGCGATCGACGGATGGCTCGTGGAAAGGTGGCAGCGGGCGGAGCGACCCCTGGCCCGATCGTGTCCCGACGGCGACGGCGGCCTAACCGTGCCTCCCTCACGTTACCCGTCCCGGGTCGCGTGGCCGAGATCGGCACGAAAGCGGGGCGGCGACGCGGCGCCGGTCGGTTCGAGGCCGTCAGGCCGCGACCCGCTCGATGCTAGCCTGTGCGTAGATTCACGGGAAGCGAATGGCGCGTTGTGACGGCTGTACACCACCAGACCAGACCAGACCAGACCGGACCATGTGGCCGTGTGCGTGGCTCTGTCCCCGCTGCTCGATCGAGTCCAGCCGGCGCATGTGGCCGTCGCGGCTCGCGAGGGCCTCAGGCGGTACGTGTCCAGCAAGCTGAAAACGCGCCTCGCGCTCGTGCGCCCCAAGGGCGACCGGCACCGTCCACCCAACAACTTGACTTGGGACCCTAAAAAAAACAGCTTGACTTGGAGCCGCGACAGCACACGCGTGTCGTACTACATTCGTACTAATCCTCTCCCTTCGTGTGATTTTTCTCAAAATTATAGGCTTTGAAAATTTTATTTTCTAGAAAAACATGTACTACATCTCAAATACCAAATATATATGCACACACATCCAGAGAAATAGATTTCATATTGTAAATGTTTGTAGATATTGAAAGTTTTCTCTATATAAACTTAGTCAAACTTTAAAAAGTTTTCTTCAAGTCATGGTTTCTCTTTCCGTCCCGTCTGTCGACTGTGGTGCCTAGGCCACCCACTCCTTCCAAATTTCGTCGGCGAGCCTGTGAATCCACCTTCCACTACTTGCCGTTGAGACGGTCAGTGGCGAGTAGGGGCATCCTGGTGCCTTGGCTCCAACTAGTAGTTTGGGTTAGTTTTTTTTCCTTTTTCTTCTTGCAAGGAGGTGTTTGGATAGATGACGACACTTCATCTCTATTGGATCTTTCGGGCCCTATTTCTCCTCTAGCTTGTCCAATGGGACGGAGTGAGCTCTGGCGTAGATTCTTGCCACATCAGGCACGGTGAGGTTAAAATTTCTCGCCGTGCGGAAGCGTTGAGGACATTTGGTGTCAGGCGCTTCAGACTGATTCAAGAGTTCTATGGCGATGACTGCAGTTCTGAAGCACATGCTATGAGGGTCGGTGTTGTTGCAAAAGTGTAGCTCCAGAAGGAATGCCGACGCCAATGGTTGGAGGGGATGATGGTCCAACCAGAGGCGACATCGTCACAGTGGAAGGTGATGGAGCACCATGGTGAAAGAGGATAGAATGAGGGTGATCAGCTGAACAAACAGACAATTAGTTTATAGCAACTCCAACAGACCCGTATTTGTAAAATAACTACCGTTTAAGAGAAGTTTCGGCACAAAAGCATCTCCAACAAATCCTGTAAATGTGAATTGAATTTACACAATCATGTAAATTTGATCTCAACTTCGCTTCGGTTTAGATGAAGTCTTGCTTCCTGTAAACTTTTGACACAAGGTAACTGCCTGAAACTGTCGCGTCGCAGGAAAGCCACCGTGCCGCTTCGTCGGAAAACCACTGTGTCGTTGCCGCCCCGTGAACAGTTGCCGCGTCGCCATAAAGCCACCATGTCGCGCCGATTCGCTGAAAAACCATTGTGTCGTTGCCACCCCATGGACAGCCACGTCGCCGAAAAGCCACCATGCCGCTGTCGCTTCGTCAAAAGCCCACCGCGTCACCGCTGCCCCGGCAGAAAGCCATTGTGCTACCGCCGCTTCGCCGAAAAATTGCCGTGTCGTGTCGCCGTCGCATCACTGCCATGTCGCCGGAGTGCCGTGATGTGCGTCACTGACCAACGGGCCCTAGGTCATTATCTAGTTTTGTTTAATGAAAATTTAAATAAAATCATGTTTAAGAGAAAAGGTTTACGAGATCTGATAAAAGTACCTATCAGGAAGCTTCCCCTGAAATTTATAGATATCCTATAAAAGCACTTTTACGATAAGTTTTTGGAGGAATTGTCTTTTAAGACGTATACGTTCATACATACGCATAGCCGAAAGGCCTGTAATAAATTTAAAAAAGAATACGAGCACCAATGTCAAGTATAGGACTTGAACCTGATGAGTTGGGATACTATTGTCCACCTAACCCTTCAACCACATGTTGGTTTACTTTTAGAGGAATTGTTGGAGTTGCTCTTACTATTTCTTTGACACATACACTAAATGTTGTTAAATAGTTTTTTCCAGACGTGGTCAGTATAATAATTTAGAAGGAAAAGTACTCATCGAGGAATAACCTTTTTATGCGACTGAAAAAAAATCATGGAATAACCTTTTTTTTTGCGACTGAAAAAAAATCATGGAATAACCTTGTTGTACTTTGCCACGGCTCCCTAAAAGTATAAACAATCACGGAATAACATTTTTGTTTCGCGACTGGAAAAATCGTGGAATAACCTTTTCTCTGATATTCTGGCTTATCCAAACAAATCATCTCATATTCTCGTCAGACACCTGTAATCCAATCCCAAAAGCAATAAACACTTGAGATTCCGACACAGCAGAAATGTTCGCTCCAAAATGGGGAAGCAGAAGTTTGAGCCAAAGTAGACAGCCAGCAACTCCAACCTCCAAACCAAGCACTACTTCATCCAGTAGTACAATCTTCTGCAAGTGCAATCCACCGCCGTAGTTTCCCAATTTCATTTCCAAACGGGACAACACGCTTGCACAGCCGTTTCGGAGCACAGCTCAACTTTGACTTGCCCTTGTTTTTTTTCTAAAAAAAACTTTGACTTGCCGTGCAAATAACCAAAGCACTGATCGGAGGAGTGAGACACGCTAACTTTGATTTGATTTGTACCGCGGATAAAGAAACCAAACCAAAAACACCAATTCTATTCTAGAAAGAAGAGAAATCCACGAAAGAGATCACACCGTTTGTGACCCGTGACGGACGTGACGGAGTCCGCCGGCGCCGTCTCATGCCGCCAAAGGCCAAACACTTTTACCACCCCTGGTTTCCGTCTTCTTTTTTGGCAAAGCCCCTGGTTTCTGTCGGCTTCGAGGAGAAAAAAAAAAGGTCCTGGACCGTGACCGCCGAATTCTAAAAAGAAAATCAAAATGACTGCGAAATTCCAAAAAGGAAAAGAAAATAATTTGACTGCGAAATTCCGCCGAGAGTCGCACCTACCCCCCTCCCCGGCCGGACTATAAATAGTGGCCCTCCCCCGCCTGCCCTCCTCTTCTCTCCTCTCTGCATTTTTTCCACCCACCGGTTTTGCGCTTTGGCCCCTCGGGAACACGAGAATCCGTGCCAGCCCCCTCGGCGCGATCCTCCCCGTGCTCGCTCGCGTCCAGCTCGCCGCCCGTCGTAAGGCCCTCTCGTCCCCGTGCGCACCCCGGTTTCGCGTCCGTCCGGCGGAGATTTCGTGCTCCGCGGGCCAGATTCGCCGTGCGGCCAGCCGCCGTCCAGCTGCTCCTCGTCGGTTTCCGCCGATCCGTGGTCGGGTCCAGCTGTTTGCGGCTGTGCGGTTCGGGTCGCGGCCAGGTGTGCGGCATTGGAGACCCTCGGCGTGGGGATTTCCTGCCGGAGGGAGCTTTGCGGACGAAAAAGCTGCCTTCGGGAGGAACTCTTCCAGCCCCGAGGGTTTGGTCTTGTGTGCGGGGGCGGCGGAGGCCTCGTGTTTCGCGTGGGGTTTAGTTGGATTTCGTGTAGTGCGGAGCAGAGAAGCTTGGCCTATTTAGCGCGCCAGGCCCTGTGCTGGAAGCCCTCACACCGGAGATCTCCTCGCGCAAGAGGAGAGACGCCGTCGGAAGGGAATTCCTGCCAATCCCCAAGGTTTCCACTGGCTTCCTCTAAATTTTAGTTTTGCTTGCCGTCCAGTGTTACCCATGGGTTACTGATCAAGTTTCCTATTGTGAAATGTCAGGTTCAGGATTTCCTCCTCGGCGAGAAATTCTACCAGTTCTCCAGATTTCTCTGGCTATTTAAGGATCTAACAATTGTGAGAGACTGGGAACTTTCAGCCTGCCGAGGGTGGTGTTATTGCGATGGGCAATCAGAATGGGACCCCCGGGAACAATTACTACAACCGGTTCCCGAGGGAGCATCCTGCTTCCAGGTATGCCGATGGGATTGAAGATGATAGCTACTCAGACTTGAAGAAATCTGACAAGCCCTGGCCCGATGCTGACTCGTTTAGGCCCACCGCCGCTGGTATTCTGAGGCAAGGGTTGGATCCGACATCCATCTCTGTCCTCGGGCGCAAGACGGCGGACCTAAGGGAGCACTATATCCTTGGCCGGAAGCTTGGGCAGGGCCAGTTTGGGACTACGTACCTCTGCACCGAGATAAGTACAGGGTGCGACTTTGCGTGCAAGACCATCCTCAAGCGCAAGCTCATCACCAAGGTGGATGTCGAGGATGTGCGCCGTGAGATTCAGATAATGCACCATTTGTCGGGACACAAGAACGTTGTCTCGATCAAGGATGTCTATGAGGACGTGCAGGCGGTCCACATTGTGATGGAGCTCTTGCCTGGCGGGGAGCTATTTGACCGAATTCAGGGGAACGGGCGTTACAGTGAGATGAAGGCTGCAGAGATTACAAGAATTGTTGTCAGCATTGTGGCTATGTGCCATTCACTTGGTGTGATGCACCGCGATCTCAAGCCGGAAAATTTCCTCCTCCTTGACAAAGATGATGACCTGTCCATAAAAGCAATTGATTTTGGCCTATCTGTCTACTTCAAGCCAGGTATGGTATTGAATTTCGATGCATGTACAGGGACATATTTTTAAGCAATAAATAAATGCCATACTGTTTTTCTGCTTTTTTTGCTGTGTAATATTTTGTTGACACTGAAAGGCGGACACATTCAGTTACATTCCTGCTGCACCCTTAGCGATCTATATACAAGCCGCCACTTCAAAATTCAAACTAGTATATAACAAAATGGCCTGAATGTTGACTAACAGGAGTTTGTATATCTTGTTGATTCAACAACACATATGAATATTAGCTTATCATTACTGCTTATTACAAGGATGAGGCAAATTGAAATGAAACTCTGTTTCTACCTCATCATATTCGCATGTATCTGCATTATATGTACCCATCCCATGTGTTAAGTGTTGTTATTTTCTGAATAAATTATTGTTTTTCTTTATTAACTTTGCTAATTTACCAATTCAGGCCAGGTTTTCAGTGAGCTAGTTGGCAGCCCGTTCTATGTTGCTCCTGAGGTGTTGCACAAACGCTATGGGCCAGAATCGGATGTGTGGTCAGCTGGAGTGATACTCTATGTATTGCTAAGTGGGGTTCCACCATTTTGGGCAGGTGATTTCTTTAAACTCTGGTGTTAAATTTGAGTCTACTGTCTTCCTGGAATTGCTAAAATGATTAATATTGATTGTATCAGATACACAGAAAGGCATATTTGATGCAGTTCTGAAGGGGCACCTTGATTTGGAATCAGACCCCTGGCCTAAGATATCTGACAGTGCAAAGGATCTTATAAGAAAGATGCTTTGCAATTGCCCTTCAGAGCGTTTGAAAGCCCATGAAGTGCTACGTAAGTATATTTTATTTATTTCTTCACCCTTGCAAATTTTTTTAGTCGTCACAAACATTTTCCTTTTGTACTTGTTTACCAATTATATGTTAATGCCAGGGCATCCCTGGATCTGCCAAAATGGGATGGCCACTGATGGAGTTTTGGATCCTAGTGTTATCTCTCGGCTCAAGCGGTTCTCTGCAATGAACAATCTACAGAAATTGGCTCTGAGAGTGAGTTTTCTCTGCAATTTTTTCCATTTCACATCTTTGTCTTTACAAGTGTAATAGTTGAAATCTTGGTAGAATATTAACTTTATGTGGTATAATGATCGCATGGATCATGGCTCTGTTTTGTTTGGATTTTCCTATAATATGTTAGTTTAAGGCACATACATAGTTACTGTGAATCATCAATTGACATTACAGTTCACACGAACATGCCATTGGTCATGGATGGATTCTATTGCTGCCATGCAAGCAAGTTCATTTGAGCTGCTGCTTTAGTCTCACTACATGAATTTCCTGCTGCGGAAAGGGAATATGCTTTTGTTTTTGGCATTCAACTGTGTGGGTTAGGCCCTATGCTGGAATTTAATTTGTTTCATTATGTCCTGCATCTATCAATTTTGTAAACAGTACGGCCCTGTTTCTTCTGTGACACTTAATATGCTTCCAGGTGATAGCTGAGCGTCTTTCAGAAGAGGAGATTGCTGGATTAAGAGAATTATTCAAGACAGTGGACATAAAAAATAGAGGTGTAATCACTTTTGGTGAGCTTAGGAAAGGTCTGACAAGATATGGCAACGAATTGGTGGATACTGAGATTTGTGATATAATGGAAGCGGTAAGTGTGTGCCTCTGATTATTACAAAGGCTCGTCCAATATGTGTGGAATGTGTAATATTTTCCTGCTTCAAACACTGTTTAGCCACCACACACTATTCTTCAATTCTTATTGGTTCTGGGATATCCTCTGTTGGAAAAGGCCTAATCAATAGATATCATTGCTGTGATGACACATGGCATTTTTTTTAATGAAAAACGCCTAAGCTGTACATATATAGTATGCAGCAATAATATAATAACATGCATTTCTTGATTTGTTGGTAGGATATTGTCTGCATTGCTGTCCTACTTCATCTAATCTGTCTGAACCTTTTTCAGGCTGATACAGACACTGATGTAACCATAAACTATGAAGAATTTATTGCTGCAACCATGCCTCTAAACAAGATAGAGCGGGAAGAACACTTGAAGGCAGCTTTTACATATTTTGACAAAGATGGCAGTGGCTATATCACAGTCGACAAGCTTCAACGAGCCTGTGCAGAATATAACATGGAAGGCACTCTCCTTGAAGAGATTATTTTAGAGGCCGATCAGAACAATGTAAGTCGATTATCCCAATCTAAAATATCATGGCATGCCTGTTAATTGTTAGTATCATTTAACTGTGGTTCTGACTCATGAAGAACCTGTAACACTTTCGCGACAGCAAACAGTCGCAAAAGTGTTAGGCATATTTAGTCAATTTAGACATGTATAGTGTTTTGGGACTTGCATCTTTGATACCCACTGCAGCGGGTCTTAATTCTAAGACCCATTTAACTTGTGAAATTGTACCTTTGGCCTTGGTGGCATTGGGTATCTACCACCAGCTACGCCTAATACCCAGTGGCTCAACAGCTCAAAGGAAAAACAAAATCTATATAGCAACAGCACGGAACACATAGATCTCGGATTACAATACAGACTTTGGTATCTGCATAATGTTGCAAAAATAATAATATAGTAATAATAACTCATTACTACTTAAATGTCAACTTTGTAACAGTGATCTTAGCTGGATAATACTATGAGAAAAATTATAGTGTTACTTTCAGCATGATCTACATCACCGCTGATTTGTTTGTCAGAAACCAACTGAATCTAATGAATGTGCATTATCTTTTTTTTTTCAGGACGGTCAAATTGATTATGCCGAATTTGTAGCCATGATGCAAGGCAACGCTAATGGTGGCAATATTGGACTTGGACGTCCAACAATGGAAACCAGTCTGAATGTGACCTTGAGAGATGCAGCTCAAGTACATTAATGCACAGATTTTGTTCTCTTCTCATTGCCATTATGTCCACAACCCAAATTGGGTTGTGGGCATGTACTTCCGAAGTACGGGAAGAGAACAGGTCGATTCTTTCGGCGGCATTTATCGAAAATAAGCTGGTCTAGCTAGCAGTACAGTCATTGTGAGAGACAGCGTCGTGGGTTCCATATAGTAAGTAGTTGTGTCCTGGTTCATATGACTGCAAGACTGGCTGCTATCCAGCAGGTGGAAGTAAGAGGGCGCGCGGCAAGTTCGTTTGTTCTTTGTGTGATCAGTTGTGTACTTTGTGTCTAATGAAAAACTTGTCTTCATGAAATGTCATATTCCCCAAGTTTGGTCTTGGTAGTTAGTACTGTTTTAATTTCTAAAATTATGAATCTATCTGCACAGATCATAATCAAGCAGGCCCAGAAGCTCTGGCTGTCGTTGGTAAGCCAGGGCAACAAAGGGCTGGCACACCACACCAGTTCATGATTTTGCAGAGACCAATTTGTTCAGTACTAGATGGCAGATTTACAGTATGAGTATGGCTATTCTAGATGTGTAAGTATATTTTTCTTCACTTTCTATGTAAAGATGTGATGAAACCTGAAGAGGTCCTGGCAGTGGCTGCCGCAGGTCAGGTGGCCTCCGAAACCCGGGTCTCCTGCGCCGCAGCTATCTCCTACACACGAGCCAGGCAGCACGGTCAGTATTAAGAAAGAACTGTAGGAGTTTTATTTTCGCAGTAGCAGCAAGTGACACAATATTTACCTTGACGTCTCCGTCTCTAGAGAGGACGCACGTCGACGTGACCGCGCTGCCGTGGCCCAGCAGCCACCCGACCTCGCACACCACCTCGCCGTCCTCGCCGTCGCCGCTCACCTTGAGCGAGCTCCACAGCTGCTTCGGCAGCAGCGTCACCACGCCGGCACCGTCCCTCGCTGTCCTCCGCGGCTCCTGATCCGGCTCCAGCCCCGCGAACTTGCCCTGCACACCAGACATGTCAGTGTCACGCACGGCTATCTTCGATGTCGATGGACTGTGCGGTACGTGCTGCAGGAGGATGCTCACCGTCACGGGGTCCAGCGCGCCGGAAAACCTGGCGGCGCTCTCCCACTGCCCCGCCACCTCCGACGCGGCGAGCCTCTCACCGGCGGCGAAGGCGGACTCGCGGAGCGCGCAGCCGCCGAGCTGGTCGCCGTTGCGGTAGGGGCCGTACCACTGCTCGGAGAACACCTTGACGCCGCGCAGCCGGGCCGCGTCCTTGGCCAGCGCCACCGTCTGCACCAGCCTGACCCGCACCTCCGCGTTGTCCGGGTGGCAGATGCAGTGCTCCACCTCCAGCACGGCCGAGGGGCCCTTGGGCCACGTGGCCACGTAGGAGCCCCCGCCGCTGTAGGTGAAGGCGGTGGCGGAGGAGACGTGGCGCTGGTGGGAGGTGTGCACGGTGGCGGCGTCGGCCTCGCAGCCGACGGTGGGGAGGAGGCGGACGAGGCGGTAGTGGAGCGCGCCCGGCGCGGCGGGGTCGGCCAGGGTGGGGCACTGCGTCTGCCAGTCGAAGACCTGGACCCCCCACTCGCGGTACGCGTCCGGGACCACGTTGGCCGGCAGCTCCACGGGCTCGCCGGCCACCGTGAAGTCCGCGCCGAAGCCGTCCCACTCGCCGGACACCCGCGCCGCGAACTCCGCCCACTTATCTGCGCAAGCACGGACTAAGTTTCAGTGTGCAGTTCAGTCGTGGCATGGCATGGCGTAACCCTACCCATTGTCTTGAAAGTCAAAAGACAGGAGCTAGTTCATGGTGGCTGGCAACTGACCTGGCTGCGCGCCGGCGTCCGGGTCGTTGGTGGCTGCGGTGGTTGGGGTCGCGGGCGAGACGGCGCGCGGCGCCGATCTGGCGGACGCCGAGGACCTGGTGCTGGTCCGTGGCCGAAGCTGCAGAGGAGACGGCGGGAGAAGCGCGCGCTGGTGGTTGGCGCTGGCGTTGGCGCTGGGGACGGGCGCCAGGCGTTGCGTCGACACGGGATGCATCCGTTCTCTTTTTTTTTTCTCACTCGCCCCTGCGTTATTTTTTCGGCGGATTGGTGTTTTCCCGTGACCCGGGCTATCCTGTTGCTCAGGGCTCAAGGCCGATCGAGGGGAAAGTAGATAAAAAACGTGTGGGCGTGGTTGGGATGAGGGAGTTTGTGGCCACGCCCGCCTGGGCCGCTCGCCGCTCGTTCAACATGTTGCGTCCCCGGCCGGGCTTTGGCGACAACTGTAACATCATCCGTGGCTCAGTATGAAAACGATCGAAGATTCTCCACAACATCTCCAATAGCAGATCAAAATTTTGCTACCCAAATCCATTTTGGATGGAGGAGAGAGAAATTTTAGCTGCCTGCATTTTTTTTCTGCATACCCATATTTTCATAACCTAATTAACAAAGTTGTACTAAATCAGCGACACTTATTTTGGAACGGAGTGAGTATTTCATTGCATAATTAAACAACCGCTGCACATTATACATAAAACATGTATAAACTAGAGGATACCGGAATTGGTTGATGAAAATTTAGGTTCATAATATGACAACCAAAGTTAAAAATATATATTTGGTTATGTATAATTGTAACAATATTTATCGATATAAGTAGAAGAATTAAATGGATTTTTCCATATACAGTTGGATTGAGGCGAGTCTTGTCTCATTCATAATTGTACGATGAGGTGGCATGCTTGATGATGGGATAAATAAGTTAGTGGAGATGACTCTCTTAAGTTTATACAATCACAATTAAACATCCCTACCACAACATTGAGACCAAAACTAGCTACACTACGACTAAAACTAGGTGTCGTAGCGTCTGGCCTCGCCGTTGTCAAACATCTCATCATCCTCCTCAAGCTGGTCGAACATCTTCTCACGCTCGGCCTTGAGGCAGGCAAGCTCGTGGCACTTGCGCTCGCTCTGCTCCTTGGCGCGCTTGGCCATGACTTACGCCTCGGCCAAGCAATGGTCCTTATCCTCAGCTCAGGGGACGACCTTAACAGGAGGCACGATAGCGGCCGCGAAGCCGACATTGCAGGGAAGCACCCAAAGAAAGCAGAGTGCCATGATGTTGTACCACGTGTCGCTTCCTTTGCTACGGTGAACGTGCCAATCCACACACATGCATTCGTGTTTGGGTTACGGATCTCAGTCGTCACTTGCCCTATAGCCGAAGCCTCATGCCCCGGTACTTTGGCGGCGGTGATGGCTGCGATGTGTTGGCCGATGGGATGCACGGGACGCTGGAGCGAGGTGAGGAGCCCAGAGAGACATGTCAGGAACGTGGATCTTAAGAGCAGACCGGCCGGCGGGGTAGTGGCGGGTGTCGGGGCTGCTGTGGGAGTGGCGATGACGATGGTCACCATGGAGGCGGATGGGACGCCTAGGAAGTTTCATGTAGTGACATTTGCCTTTCTCGTGGCTGATTTTGGTCTTTTGGGTGGCGTGATAGGCTGGATAAAAAAATGGGCCTTAGTAACAAAATTTGGTTGCCTACCCAAATTGTTTTGCTCAATTCAAATTTGTGTCTGAGCCAGTTTGTAGGGAAATAACACAAAATTTCAGTTTTGAGGTTTCAAGGTATTTTTTGGGTGTGTTACTGGAGACACTCTGGCCCAAGTCATGCACCTATTGCAACCGTGACTCGCTCCGCGAACTGATTGTAGCTCAGAGGTTAGGTTCCTTGTGGTTGAATCAATCCACTAAGATTTAAATCCTACACTTGGCACTGATGCTAGTATTTTTCTGGATTTATTTTAACCTTTCTGGGGACATTCGTTTAGTGGGAGAAGACATTTCCGTCGGCTACGAGGTGTCTGTGATGACTTTGCCAATCTCAAGATATTTTGCCGACTTAGTATTTTAAAGATGCTCATATGGGTAAAATGTGCGTGCATTCATAAAGGTAAGCATATGTGCGTATTTGTGGGTATGTGGGATTTTACTCTGTTAAAAAAATCATGACGCGCTCCTCCCCCCCGGACAGTTGCCTTGGCTAAAGCGCCAGCAGTTCAATTTGTTTTTCCTTCAGTCGTTTGCTTTGTCTCATTTTTCATATATAATTTTAGAAATGTCTAAAATAGATAAATTTCAAGAATTTCTTCAGTTTTGAATTTTCTTCTTTGCAGTGTTAAAATTGTTGGCACAACTACTAAAAAAATGTTTCAACATGTATTTGAATATTTTTTTTTTCAAAAACACGTGTTTAAATTTTTTTTAATCATGTATTTGAAAAATATCGAAGGTATATCAAATATATGTTTCAGATGTGTACAAAAAATGTACTACGTGTCTAACAAAAAGTAGATGCCAAAACATGTATTTGGGAAAATGTTAATTATTGTATTTATAAAGCTTAACCATGTATAAGGAAAATGTTTTTTATGTATATAAAAAATGTGCAATATGTATGAAAAAGTAGACATCAAAACATATATTTGGAAAAATGTTAACCATTCATTTTTTTAAATGTGTATAATAAAAATGTTTATTATATATTATGGAAAAAGTACACATCAAAACATATAAATGAAAAAAATCTTAAACTATTATAAAATGAATGTGCTGATTGTATACGAAAAATATACAAACTGTACGAAAAAATAGACATCAAAACATGTATATATATAAATTATTTATCATGTATTCTAAAAATGTAAACATATATGCTGTATAAAAAATGTACAATGTATATAAAAAAAGGTAAAAAACCAAAGAAACCGAAAAGAAACTAAGAAAAGTCTGAACAACCAATGCAAAATAGTGGAACATAGTGGAAAATACATAATCCAAAGAAAACCAAGAAAGAAACAAATAAAACTGAAGCATAAAAAAGAAAAAAAAAACAAGGAAACCAACATAAAACAGAACAGTGTGAAATCGAAAGAAATAGAAAAAAGTAAAAGAAATACCAAAAACTCCCGAAAAGAATGACGCAGACGAGTGAACGCCATAAATGATGATGCGACAATAATAGGC